AACTGAAATTTGGAGAAAACTGAATTTTTAAGTTTTACAGCGCTTTATTATTTTTATACTTTTTACACCCAAAAATTTAATCGCCTGCCCAGCTACAATTAAGTTGTTTAAACAAATGTGTTGCAGTGGTAGGGGAAAAAATTGTGTGTCTGAAAACTGTAGGTACTGGGGTACTTTATATATACTTTTAAAAGAGAGAGTACTTTTTTTTTAAAGGGGTAGTTTATAAAAATGATTGAGATACCCTAGAGCAGTGTATCCTGAAAGCTTGTCTCTCTCCCCCTAACAGAAGTTGCTATCTCACTCACTTTGTACCTCTGTTTGCAATGGCTGTTTGTCTGTTGCTACTCCAAGACATCTAATACAGCTACTCCAAGACATCAACAAACAAGCTAGTCTCATGGGTTCAGGAAGTTACAACTAAATACATGCAGACCCCAAATGCACTTCTTTTTCCAGACTTCCCTAAAGTTTGAGTGTTTATAACTTTTTCCTACAACTATTCCAGGGAAACTATGCAGTGTTTCAGGTAAACCGCTGATTTAACTAAGGGAGCACATAAGGGAGCAGCAGGGAAGCAAAGAGAGCAGGGATTTCTGACCCAAGAGGATTTTCTGCAGACCATGGGAAAGCTTCTTGTTTTTCCTTCTCTGCACAGCCAACACCAATGGTTTGCCACCCTATTGGCCCCAGATATTGTGAAGTGAATAATGTATTTCCAGAAGGGGCCAGACTGACTGCAGTAAATATTCAATTCATCCGTGCATCCACAGAGCATATATACCATGGGCATCAAGGAATGGAAGTTTCCCCCCTAGTAATAATGCCCTGCCAATGCATTTCAGCCATGTTCAACAGGGACCAGTACACGAGAAGTAATTTGGTTTATGATTATGATAGGGTTGGGGGGGGTTTCCGCCTACAGAAATTCTGAAGAAGACTGGCTTGTGATGGTAGGTTTCATGGTATACAGTTGGACAAACTTTTCAGACACACCCAGGTAACCTAGAAGCTTAAGTCCCATCTTCAAAAATCACTAGGAAACTTCAGTAAGACTTAAGCTCCCCAGTGCCAAAGTCAGTTTTGGACATGGGAGTCACGTGCTTTTTGAAAATTTTACCCATTATTTATGAGGAAACAAAATGAGCCCACAAACTCATTTTATAAACAGCTAGTAGATTATGACAGCTTTTCAAAAGTGATCCAGACAGTAGGCCTACGACTGTAGGAAGGAAGATTTAAGCCAGGCATGGGCAATAATTTTTACAAGGGGGCCACTTCTGAAATGGCCCTGGGCCGCCTCAGAAGGGGCGGGGCCAGGAGACTTCTTGTGCTCCCCCGCATACAGCTCCTGATTGGCCTGAGGGTAGGGGAGCAAGTGAAGTCTTTGCCTCCCGGCCCCAGCAAGCTAGAGAAAACTGCCAGCTGTTTTAAAACAGCTAGCAGTTCCCTCTAGGCACTGCTATGGGAGGAGACTTCACGTGCTTAGAGTTGCCAGATGGTTTAACCAAAAATACTGAACACATCTCCCCATCCCCCAAAAAAAACACCGGGGAAAAAATTTTTTGGGGGGAAAAAAAAAGGGGGGGGGGGGGAGAAACCAAAGCTGTTGAGAAAAAAAAAAGACCCCCGAGAGTTAAGCAAAAAAAATAAAACAGCATTAAAACAGCATGGCCCCTTTAAGAAAAGTCTTTAGGCTTTTTGCCGGTGGCCATCTTGTTTTCTTGACCGGAGCCAGAAGGGAGCTTCCCTGCGGAACCAGGTAAGCGGAAGGCCAGAGGCCCTAAGGGGGGTATGGGGGCTGGGCCCGATTGCTGAGTGTCGTAGGGTTGCCAGGTGTCCGGTATTTTTGCCTTCTGGCAGGGAAAGAACCCCAGAAAATACCAGACATTTTAGGTGTCTGGTATTTCTGAATTTTTTTTTTAAACCAGACAGGAGGCGAAAATACCAGACTGTCTGGGTCAATACCGGACACCTGGCAACCTACACGCGCTCCCCCCTTAACACCAGGCCAATCATGGCCAATCATGGCCTGTGGAAGTGGGGGGGAAGTGTGCAGAGTCCCTCGTGCCCTGGCCCCGGCCTGCCAGGGCGTGCAGTGTCTAGAGCCGTGGTCCCCAACACGG